TGAATTTACCAGATTTCACAGGACCTATCCATTTTATTTTGAAGGGAACTAATCCAGAGAATAATTGTGTTCCTTTTTTGCTAAGGTTGTACCACCTTAAGTCTGTGGGCCACAGCTGCAAATAAGTGGCAGGAACCCAAGGGTCACATTTCAGTACTATAACCTGGGGCAACCATTAAAAGTGTTAGATTGCATCATGAAGGTTAGTCCTAATTTAACTTGATAGTGGAAAGCTCTGTAAAGTGAATTGTCACAGTAACGATAACAGCAGCTGAGCACAAAGAGATCATTGATCTTCTTTCACAAGAATCATGAAAATTCTTCAGTGCTGTCCTCAAAGCCCAGGCATTATTTGCATCTGTATGGCAGACATCATTGCATGTGAACTCCTTGACCTGCAGATTGGAGGATTCACTGAGAATCACACTTCATTCTGAGATGTTTAATCCCCTGGTTCCATTGGGTGAGAAATGTCATTCTCCAAGGACCCCACCCCCACGCTTTCCAATATGCATACTTTCTAAAGTGACTTCATGTGTGTTATGAAGTCAGATAATCTGTATTTTGACATGACATGAAATAGCAGCTGGTCAGCTGTCTAAACCAGTCAACCTGCTTTTAGATGAGATTACATTACAAGATGGACTTGTTTAATTGTGAGCATAAGATACAGAAATAGCAGAAATCTACGACACTAATGTTTATTATCTATTTTCCTTTATTTTATCAATTCGTGATTCCTTTTAGACAAACTGCATGTTGTGGAGTTAGGCAATGAGGGGAAACGATGTGAGGAGAAATGAATAGGCAAGTTTCAAAGTTTTATTAAATATATCCTCAGGAATGAAAAGGCGAGGACTATGAAAAATGTATAAGACATTAGAAAATTTCTAACTTTGCTCTGTTAATTATCTATGACTCCTTCATTTGGTTTTTGTTTTCTTGGAGTTTGTTTGCAGTGATTATCAGTAGAACCCTTAAAAAGTTAGACATCCCATGTGCTCACTCTAGGGACAACAAGCAAGTTAACAATTCAACAAAATGCATCCTACTTCATAGGCAGGGAGATGAAAGGAACCCTCAAAATAGAATAGATGATGGTTTTTAAAAAGGTAAGGAAAGCAAGCTGAATCTTGAAGAGGATAGCATGGAATGGTCCCCAGGCTAAAAAGTGCCGCCTGGATTTAGGCCTGTCAGGAATTCTATAGATAAGATTCCTGCATTGCATAGAAGAATGAACTAGATAACCTCGAAAGTTTCTTCCTAATCTAATATTTTCCAGTTTCATCATGTCTAGTAGAAATATGATATAGCTTCCATAAGAGATTTAAGGATAAAGTCTGTAGTTGGGGTGAGAAGTACAATATAGTAATTGCTAATATTTTACATTTAAATCATAATTGAAATTTCAGCAACGACAATTCTTGAAATTAAAGTGATGGCTTTCTTTTTAGAATTTAGATAGTTTTAATGGGATTCTTTTACTTAAAATAGCATTTGGCATGTATCACACATACATGACACAGAAAAGATCCTGTAAGTACCTATTAATTTACTGATTTATTGGATTATGTAGTGCTATCTTAGGGAAGGAATGAAACAATACAATAAAAGTAGCTAGGAAGCACTGATGTCATAGGATTTTGCTATCTCTATATCCCTTGTTCTCAACTACAAATCTTTGGAGACTGTATTGGGTCCTGGATAACGTAAAATTTGGATTTGTATTCAATGAATCAGCTTACTGAGTCGGATGTCTTTCTCTCCTTGATATCAGATCTTTTTCTATAAAAAACAAGGCCTGAGATAGTGTGCCAAATTTTCAGGATTTTCATATATCTGGATCATATATGAGGTGGATATACAGAAAATACCTGAAATCTCAGTCTTATTCAGTGCCAAATAAAAATCTGTACGTTCGTATCAAGAAACAAATACCTAAATCCCCAGAGTTATCATCTGGGACTAAATAAAAGGCAAGTACAATTATAGTCAAATGCCTATGACTGAATACCTTTAATTTGTCAGATTTTTTTCCTGGACTCCTTCAACTTTTAGAAAAAAGTACAAATAGCAATGAAAAGGTTCAGTGGGGAAAGAAGGGTATATCCTTGGATCAGGGCAAATTCAGACCAGTCTTCTCACATTGTACATTAACAGTTCTAGAAATTAAAAATGGAAATTCAAAATTATGATAAAAAGCAGTTAATATTTATTGAACATCTACTATATGCCAGATGTGATGCAGAATGTCCTACATACATTATCTCATTTAATCCTTTTAACAGTCTGATGAGTTAGGTACTGTTATTAGCCTCCTTTTACAGATCATGGCTCTGAAGCTCTGTAAGATCCTCAGTCATCTACTTAAGGAAGGAAAATGGACTAACATATTATTCTGTAAAATTACCAAATGCAAAACAAAATAAGAATAAAATTTTCTGATTAACCATCATTAATCAGAACCTTTTAATCTCTGAGCATTCCTTTTGATCAAGATGTCACCATCCTGTAGTATAGTACTCAAATAGTGGAACTGCATTTGAAATCTAATTAGTTTAAGTAATGTTAATATAATCAGCACCAGAACTTTTAAGTTGTGGCATTAATTCTTGATTATCAGCTGTCAAGTGTTTAACTACTACGTGCGTTAATACAATGAGTTACCTACTTGCACCTATTGAGCATTCATTCAACACTCACTACATGCCAGACATGGTGCTAGGCACCAAGGATACAGTTGTGTGGGGGGGACAGAGATCGAGAGAGATCGAGATCCTCCTTAGAAGAACTTACAAACTTACAGGGAAAGTTTACTTTAATTCACTTAGAATAATAAGATAGGGGCTGGCCCCCGTGGCTGAGTGGTTAAGTTCACGCGCTCCGCTGCAGGCGGCCCAGTGTTTCGTCGGTTTGAATCCTGGGCTCAGACATGGCACTGCTCATCAAACCACGCTGAGGCAGCGTCCCACGTGCCACAACTAGAAGGACCCACAACTAAGAATATACAACTATGTATCGGGGGGCTTTGGGGAGAAAAAGGAAAAAAATAAAATCTTTAAAAAAAAAAGAATAATAAGATAATCATAGCTTTAAATATATGTTATGCAAAGTATGTTTATCTTTGCAGCAACCCTGTGCAATGTTATCACATCCCTTCTACACCTTGTGAAACTAAGACTAAGGCAGATTACATGAATTGCCAAAAGCTACCCAGCTAGTAAAAGACAGAGTCAGGATTTGAACCCTCATCTGTCAGGCTCCAACATACATAGTTTCCACTATACCATCCTACCCTCCGTCAAACTTGTTTTGGTCAGTATGATATTGCAGAAAGAAATACCAAGAAAAGTTTTGGAATGCTACACATATTTGACTCTGGGACTACTCAGGTACAAGAAATAACTTCATGTGTAAACTATATAAAAATCTAGTCTTTGAAAATAGTCTTGGTCATGATCTGAATGTTTTCTAATACATAGCAATCAGTGTTTGTTTCTTTAGTTCTAGTCATAGTAGGGATTTAATGGGACATAGATATGATACAGTGAATGGTTGACTTACAGAAGCAAGTTTTCATTCTTTCACTTAGTTAGATAATGTAAAGGAAGAATGTTTGACGGGTTCCAGAAGACATTTAATGGAGGTGTACCTAGTGGAGTCTGATTGCTGAAGAACTACTACTTGTTACACGGCCTGAAAACGTTAGCATAGGGGTACTTTTTATTAAAAATAGTACAGTCATGCATCCCTTAACAATGGGAATACGTTCTGAGAAATGCATTGTTAGGAGATTTCATTGTTGTGCAAACATCGTAGAGCATACTTACAGAAACCTAGATGGTGTAGCTTACTACACACCTAGGCTATATGGTACTAATCTTATGGGACCACCATTATATATGCGATTGGTTATTGACTGAAACATTATGTGGCACACGACTGTAACATAAAGTCATTTTATTAGAACTTTAGCATTCATTTTAATGAAACTTGATTGACCTGTAGCTGACTGAATTCCAAGCCTTTATTGATATTTTACATTGCCTCAAGAATTGTACGGCTGCAGGCCATAGAAAAATTGAGGGTTAAAGAATGAGCCATGGCAAGCCAACCTGATTCCTCTTTTGATAGGATTAGGGAACTAGTATATAAAAGGCTTAGGAGAGGTCGCTTAACTTTGAGTTTTGACAAAGCTTTTGATTCCACATTTCATGAAGTTTTAATTGAAACACTTGAAATTCTAGGTGCTGCTGCCAAAGGAGTAAGAAAGTCTCTCTGCTCGTCCCTTGCTGAACCGTGTAAGACTTGGAGAGTAGAAAATGCCTTTTGCCATTTTATATGGTGCAGCAGCAACTAGTAAAGTGACCATGCTTCTGACATTATTTGAAGAGGATGGAATTAACACTACCCAAACCTGGGTCGTAACTCCCCATCACTCCAACTACTAAATAACCCCCTTGCGAGTTCTGTATCTTTGTTTCCTTTTCTTATTTGCTGTGAAGTTATGGTGTGCTTCTTTGGAAACCTCTATATTATGGTTGGAAGTGACTTTAACACCAGGATAGCCTAATGATTATATCTGCATCAATTCAACAACCCTTGGAAAGATGTCAACAGATAATCTAAGGAACAAGTGGCCAAGTTTTTTCAAAGGAAGAGTGGGACCAACCATAGCCACAGTTAAAGAGTATCCTATCTCTTTAAGGGAGGAAGTAGAAGACAATTAATAGCTTGTGGGCAAAAATGTTAATTTCCCAGAAACAGTAGGGAATTTACAAATGCAAGAGCCACAGTCCTATAAAAGCCTATATTTTAATTCTATACTTGTCAACAAGAACTGTAAAAATTATAGAGGGCAACTGGCTTTAAGGAGTTCACCTGTTACTCCCAGGCTCTTAAGAGTGAGAGAATTTTCCTCTAGAGGCTCATATAATAAAATCTGGAGACATCCCAGTCCTCAATGGAGTCTGGATTTTGGCTTTCTTTTTTTTCTTTAGGATTGAACCAGCTGCCCTTTGACCCTGCCAACAACAACGAGCCCCTGCAGTTTGGTAGTGCCAGTGGCCCTCTGGTCACAGAAGGCCTCATTGAGAATGGAGGGGAGTCAAGCAAGAAAAGAAAGAGAACAAATGCTCCTTCAGGTAAGCTAGGTGATAATGCACTCTGTTAAGCCAGTGCTATTGAGTCAACACTTTCCTACAGCCTAGTATGTGGTGGGCACTGTGCTAGGGTTTGTAGAAACTACAGAAATGAGAAAGAGTCCCCGGCCCTCAAGGAACTCATGGTGGGATAGAGGAGGGAAAAACACATACATAAATAACTCTAATAACAAGATAGAGTATCATCAGTGATGTGGTAAATGTGTAAAAGGAAAAAAAAAAGCATATGGAGCACAAATCGGGGAGGAGTTTAATTCAGCCTTGGGCATCACGGAACACTTCACGGCAGAAGTGACATTTGTAGTTGTCCTTTGAATGGATAGGCTTGAGATAAGAAGAGATGAATAAAGAACATTGATTTAGGTAGAAAGAATTGCATGAGTAAATAGTTTCACTGTACAGTTTTCTTTGTGTGTACATGTGGCAGGCTACCCTTACTTGTGTTTCTAATGCACATAACTGCTTATGTTTGCATCTCCCTACCCCACCACTCTTTCCCCCATTACGCACTAAGCCCACATGTGTTTTGTGCCCTCGTAGCTCTCTTAGAACAGCTGACAAACAGATTTTTCAAATCCTCTATAACAGCCAACTGAATTTTTAGCCTCCCCTGCAATACCCCCTCTCTTTCATGCTCCATTGGCCTATTCTCATGTTAAATTTCTCCAAAATGAGTGAGGAAACAATAGGAGAATCAGATCTTAATTGGTAATTTGATATGTTAAAATTTCATCTCTTTGTTGTGTGGCTGTTCATTTGAAAATATTATCTGTGGTATATAGAGAGTGATCTGAGATTATGGGATGGGCCTAAAAGACATGTCATATTGTTTTCGTTTTTGTTTTGTTCTGTTTTTTACTATTACTTTTACATTCAGTTTATAACATGGAGCATGTTTACAAACATATTACATCATATCTGACACTTAGATCAGAGGTCTTCCTGCTTATAAATCAAGATATCTGTTAAATATGAGTTTGGAAAAACGAAAATACAGTAAAACATTAGCTATCTGAAGTGCTCAGGAAAAGAGTGATTCTTAGAGAGCTGTGTTTTCTGGAGCATTGAAAGGCCTAGCGTGTAGCCGAGGAACTGGCCTGAGTCCTAATCCCAGCTCTATCTCTGTCAGTGGCCTGGGGTTGGTTCCTTAAACTCTTGAGTTTCACTTTCTTCAATTGTAAAGTAGAAATGATACTAAAACCTACCTCTTAGGTTTGTTAGCAGAATAAAATGAAATTAATAGGTAAAGTGCTTAGCATGAGATCTGCACACAGTAATCACTTAATAAATGTTGCTATTATTTTATCATTATTATTATATAATACTATGAACTTCATATTTTTGAGTGTCAATACATTTCACATTTTTAGGTTAACCATTATAGATAGAAATCATATATGTATGTGTGTATAAAGTTGTCTGCCTTTTTAAGGCATATATTCAACATAATTTCAACTTTTCTTGATCATTTAGAGGTGTAATTCCAGTCATTGGTTATTGTACTGCACTCTAATACTCTATTATAGTTTTCAAGGTTTCTAAGGAAATAGGCCTTTTAACTCTACACTGAGTTGTTCTAGATTGTGGTGTTTTTTTAGTTATTACAGCCACATTTTATACATGTCCTGTCTCCTTTCTGCAGTCTGCAGCCACTTCTAGTTCTCTCAGTGTGCGTTCATGTAGCAGCCTTTTTTCTCCTTCTAGTTAGTTATGAACTTTAAAAAAAAAACAACAAAAAACAGCCTGCTTTCCAAGTTGGTGGATCAGGTTAGTATGTTAAGTAAGAGGCAAATCAGCTGTAAGAGAACCTACGCTGGAGAGTGTTACAGGATTTAGGGCATCAACTTTAAGACATCTGTTTTGCTCTGAGGCCTTTATTGATCACTTATTAGTTTTTCCATTGTGTTCATGATAAGTGATGTGCTAGTTCACAGTAATACCTCCTGAACTGTTAGCGTGTGAGGGTGGGGAAGGAGTACATATGCGTTCATCTGAATTGTGATCTAACTTTAAAGAATTGCAGTTTTATTTCTAATGAGTGTATTCAGTGAGAGCAAAGTAACTGTTGCAGATACAGGATTTTAGCAGTAGATTATGCTAATCTATAATTAGCAGAATCAATTTACATTCAGATAATGAATATGCTGAAGTTCTTAAAAAACAGTATGTTCTTTAAAATAGGTGAAATAGGCCCCTGGCAGGCTAAATTAGCTCCCTTGCAATCTTTTTCACATTATTTGCGTAGTGAACCCTTTCGTTGTAAGTAGTATAAAGGTAACTCCAGCCCGGGTTAAATTACCACAAATTCCAAATTAGTGTGGTCCAAATTAATGGGGTTTTACTATACAGGGAGTCTCTTATAATTGTTCAGCTGGCAATCTTATGGTATTATAAATGGGTAGATTGCATTATAATAGTCTTTTCTTCCTATGCAGTGCTAGACAAAAGGAAGAGGGAAGATATTTTATGAGTAGGAACTTCTTTCTTCCTTTGTCACCATTCCCTGCATCTTGGCAAGAAGGAACTGTAGAGTTGGAAGTCTTTACAGGAGCTACCAGCTATTTCAGTTCCTAGCTGAGCTACATATCCAGCCATTACATCACTTAAACCCTCTGACCCCTTTGAAATAAAGCCCTCTCTCTCCCTCTCCTGTCACTGCAAATGAGGGAGGGGACTTTGCCTGCAACTCCAGTTCCTCACTACACATTCTTTTTTTCTTCCTTTCCCATCCCTCCTACCTCTCCCTTTTCTACAAACTGCCTCTCTCCTTTTATATGTATATACTTAAGTATAAAACTATACCTTTTATGCTTAAGAAAATTGATTTCTTAAAGGTCACTAGGGACCTGCAAATTGTCAAAGTCCATGGCCTTTTGGCAGGTCTCAACCGCCTTGAGCTGTTTGCTTTATTTGTTGCTGTTAACAACCTCCCCTTCCTTGACTCCTCTCTACTTCTGCCTTCCTGGCCTCCTCTCTACTTCTGCCTTCTTTGGCAATACACTTTGCAGATTCCTCTTCCTTTTCTGTCTCCTTCAAGCATTCTTTCTCCTTTTCTTCCTACCTCCACTCAAAGTTGGTGCACTATTATCCACATTTATAAGGGATGATATAAAGGTTAAATACACTTACCCAAGGGTGAGTATCCAGCAAGTGGTTTAGCTAGGCCTCCAACTCCAAAGCCTATCTCTAACTGCTGTTCGAAAATTACTATGTCTGTAGATATTAGGAATCTGGACCCATTACTAAAATGTGTAGTAAACATTGGTGGCACACTGGGAAAGCTGTGTTTATGTGAGAATAAGGTGGGCAGAGCTTGGATTTGATCATCCCTAGGATCCCTTCAAACTCTGAGATCCCATGGTTCCTTCTTTTCAGCTTTCTTTTCTGCTACTCCTCAAAATGTCTTCTATTTCAGCCAAGGTGATCTGCTACCTTTCTTCAAACAGGCGCTGCGCCTGCCTACTTCAGTGCCTTGCTCATGCCATTTCCTTTGCCTAGCATGCCCTGCCTCCTCTTTCACCTGTCAAAATCCTGTCCAACTGACAGCACCCTAGTACAAGTCCTACCTTCTCCAGGAAGCCTTATGGATAATCCAGGTTAGAATTGTTCACTTATACCTTGGAAACCCATTGGTCATTATGTTCATATGAATCACTTGACACTGATTATAGACCACCTTGAACTATTGGTTATCTGTTCATACAGATACGTCTCAGCCTTTTAACTCAGTCATCAGCCCCTTGTTGGAAGAACCCCTGACTCTTATGTCTTTTAGAAGAGATACAGTGTCTTGCACACAATAGATGCTCAAGAAATATTTGTCAATTGATCACATATCTGGCTGAAGAATTGCTTTCCCTTTGCCTTAATATTCCCTGTTATTCTCTTGTCACTCCCATGGTGGAGCTATGCACAAAACTGGGCACTTGGTATCTAATGTTGATCAACTGACATGACAGCCTCACTTGTCCCTAAAGGTCAAACTCCAGATATTTGTGAGATTACATCCTTAGAGCAGCTAGACATCAAATTTGGGTGCTTATGAAAAGAACACCTGGCCCTAATGTAATCTTTACCTCTTTACTAGGTGAAATTTCATGAGCACTCAAAGGAAACTGATAGGTGGAGTTTGGATGTCCTGTCACAACTCCTCTGTTAGGTAGATCAGTAATCTGGATTAGATATTACTGCAACATTTGACCACAAGCTCTTTCTTTGTGGACCTGGTTGCTTTGCAGCTTTTATCTTAAGGTGAGCTCAGAATTCTTCAGAATGTGTTTGCTCTCGAATTTCACCCTTTTTCCCATGGAAATGTTTCCTCGGTGATGCTGCAGCTGCAAAAATTATCTAAGATTGCAGTGAGTCCACTTATCCAGATGATACCATACGGCTACAGTGTAGAAGGCTGTTAAACCCTTGTCACATCATAAGTTCCTGACCAGAAGATGCCGACTGCCTTCTGCTTTGAAATCCATCTGGTTTTGTAGCAGGAGAAATACCATCTCTCTTCTCAAATACTGCCGCTAAAGTGGAAGAATCCATGAGTCAACAAGGCCAATTGGATGATGACTAAAATTGAATGCATTGTTTTAAGCAACATCATGGTACACTAGTAGTCAAAGAAAGTGTGAGCTCTCTGGAAGAGTGGGCAATTCACCTGGGGTAATTATGATACCAGAGTGGTCATCCAGATGTAGACATAGTCCTGTTTCCATTGTCTTCTCTCCTGGGCCTGTATTGAAAGATAGGTTTGCACTTAAATATGTGCTGCCCAATACTAAGCAATATTGCCAAAGTTCATGTTAATTATGAATAGCTCAGTATGAAGAGGGATCTTCAACTGTTTTCCATTTGCAGTAATGATTGAATCCCAAGAGTTCAAGATCTCCAGGAAGACCCTTTGATTTAATAATAATTTGTATTGGTACAGTGATTCTTTATCTTAATGTATTTTCATATTAATTTCATTTTACAGATGAGAT